CTAATTTAATCTAAAAAAGCTCCTGTTTAGTCTTTAAAACCCTCCAAAAGGCCTTAAAGACCTTCCAGTAATTCCTCTGTGTCGTTTTATTAAATTAAATAGAGATAATTTTCCAATATTAACTAAAGGAAAGGCTAAAAAGTAGGTTTTAATTAAGGGTTTTCTTCTAATAATTTCTATAAATATAAACTAGAAATATATTTAAGTATATGCTGATTTTCTTAAATTTAAATAATGAAAAACTCAATAATTTATTATTAAAAAGCACTTTCTGTAGGAATCAAAAAAAAAAAATTCTAAAAAAACTAACATAATCTACATTTTAAAAAAGCATTCTAAGTCTATAAAACCTACTATGTTTAATATAAAAAAGTTAACAAATTTTATTTTAAAGTATTATTTTGAATTATTTTATCTTTAAAAAATACTATTGAATACCAAAAAAGATCATTTGGAGATTCAAAAGCATATTTTAGGTATTAAATAAGTTTATTTTCATCCCTTTTTAATAATAAGATTAATAATTCTAAAGCAGCAGATCCTAAATTAGATGGATTTTGTGCATTTTCCCATTCTTCTTCGTTTCTTAGATATTCTTGGACTAATTGAGGTTCAGGAAAGGAAAATACGCTTGCTTTTTTTTCCAAAAAAGGTATCAAAATAGATAATAAGAAGTCACTTTATTAACTTATGAGTTAATTAAATTATTCTTTCTAACTCAATCTGGAAATGAATTTGAAAATATAAAAAAAGAAAGCAGGAAAGGTTTACTATTGAGTTTATATTTCCTAAATAATAAAAGGAAATAAAGCCAAAAACTTATCCTAAAATAAGGTTTCTTGTATATTTTTTTAAACAATTCTTAAATTAGAAAGCTTATAAAATATTTTAGAAACCCATTTTTTACTCTAAGGAAATAAAGAAGTATCTAAAATTCGAAAAACTAAAGAAAAAAAGGAAATATATTAAGAAAAAACCAGTACATTTTTTTAAAAATAAATAGGAATCTCATATTTAATTGTTAAATGAAAAATCTTAACTATATTTTTGAAAATTTAACTTGTTTCCTAAGTTATTTATTATATGTTCATGTTTATCATTTTTTCAATCAAAATTTACATTTAGGGAAATATTTAACATGTTAAATTGTTAAATTAGGAAGGCTTTTGCCTTTTTTCATCTTCTTCATTAAATTCATATATAAAATCTAAACTTTGGCTTTCTAGTATTTCATATATAAATAATAATGAGGCATTTAATTGTTTTTCTTCTTCGCTTTAGCTTATATTTTTTAATGGTATTTCTATTAATTTATATATTTATTCAAGATCTTCTCTTTAAGATACTATATTTATTGTCTTTCGCATTAATCTTTATAAAACTTTTTCTTTTTCTAAATTTATTAAACAATCTAATAAACTGTTTCTTATAATATCTTTATCGGATTCATTTAAAGTGAAATCGTTTTGGTTTTTCCAATATTTTTAAATGCTATTTTTTAGAATAATTAATGCAAATTGACGAATATTTTATTAATTTTATTTATTATTTCCGATTTATAAAATAATTAGAGGAAATTAAGGCTTTTATGATTCTATTTCAATAAATTATTAAGCTTCGTTAATTTAATGGTTATTTTAAGGATTTAAGCATATTTAGATAGCTTTTAAAATTAATTGCTATTATTATGATTATTCGGGCATTTTTTTTTTTTATTTAGATTAAAATATATTTATTTATTTTTGGTATAAATTTATATTTATTGTTTAATATGTTTTTTTTTTGTTTTTAGATTATAGCTGTTTTTATTAATATTTTTTTATTTTTATTTTATACTTTTTAAAAATATTTTTGTTTATTAAATTTATTTTTTTAATTATGATTTATAAGAAACTTTTTATTGTATTGACAAGCTAATTTAAATAAAAGTAAAAAAAATCAAACCGAATTTAAAGTCATATAAAAAAATTATATCTCATTAACTTTTTCTAAAGGAAATGAATAATTATTATCAAAGATTTCCTCCTCATTATCTATATATCCTCCTTCTTCTTATTAAATATTTTTAAGAAATTAAATCTATTCAATAAAACCAATACAGAATCCTCTAACTTAATCCAAAAACTAACTTGAGAAGACATTTTTGATTCTAAAAAGACTAGCTAATCCTAAAACAGCTCTTTTTTTACTTCTATAGAGTTCAAAATATTCAAATGAACAAAATAATAAACTAAAAATAATTTCCATTTAATTTTAAGCATAATTAATAAAAATAAAAGGATTATAAAAAATCAATAAAAGAATACTTTCTAAAAACTAAATCTTTAAATTTATAATATTCTAGAATTTAAATAATGATTTTTCACAAAATTAATAAATAAATATAAAAATATTCTCATTTAAGCTTTAATTTTCTATACTATTTTCTATTATACACCATAAAGGATAAAAGGCAAAAAATTAATAATTTTAGCCATCTTCTAAATTTTCAACTAAACTGTTTTTTTCTAAAAACACAAAAATTTATTTCAATAAATAATTTTCTTAACAACAATTATTCAAAAATATATGTTAAAATTAACTTTTTTGAATAAAATTTAAAATAAAAAAAAGAACTTCATAAAAACTAAAAGGCTAAACTCTTAAAAAATAATCAAAATTGTTTTTAAAAAAACAAATAAGCTCTTATTTTTCTTCTAAAAAGTCTTAATTATAATCCAAAAAACCTTATTTTTCTTCCAAAAAGCCTTAATTATAATCTAAAAAATCTTATTTTTAATGAATAAAACATTATTTTTAATCGAAAAAACCTTATTTTTGTTCCAAAAAGCCTTATTTTTAATCAAAAAAACCTTATTTTTAATCGAAAAAACTTTCTATTTATTCGAAAAATTGTTATTTTTAATCAATTTTATTTTATTTTTCTTATAAAAAATCTTATTTTTATTCAAAATCAGTTAAGAAAAACTTAAAAAAAATAAAAAAAAAATCTTTCTAATTTAATATTTTTTATTTTTTCTTTAGTAAAATATTCAAAAACTACATTTTTTCTTCCAAAAAAAATCCTTAAAAATATCCAAAAAAAACTTATAAAAATTAAATTTCTTCTTTCTGATTAAAAAAAGGTAAAATTTCTACTATTTTTCTGAGAAAAACAATCTTTTACATTTCTAAATAATCTTCTTTTTAGCATTTTCCTTATCCAATAATTCCTTTTATAATTTACTTTAGTAAATCAATACTGAATTATCTACTAAAATTAAAGATTTTCTCCAAAACATTCCAAATTTCTTCATTTTCTTTCAAAATGTTTACACAAATATAAATTATTTCCTCAAAATTTTATTCTAAAATCAACCTTGCATTGTAAGCTTTATCGCATATCTCCACTAAGCATTCAATACCACTAATTTTTAAACCAAAGTTTTCACTTTTGATGCATTAAAATAAATTATTTATTATTTAAATATCTCCGAAAATTTCTTAAAACGGCCAAGTTTTGACGATTTAGCAAACTCGAGCTTTTATTAAAGGGCTAGAATGATTAAAAGAATCCAAAATGCATAAAGGAAATGATTTTGTTAAAAAGAACTTAAAAAAGAATAAAAAAAAAGTTAAAAAAGCTTCCAAAAAAACATCATTTTATATATCTAAGGAATGAACAAAATTTTCAAATTAATTAAAAATAAAGGGAAATTCCATAAAGAGAAATTCGAGTAATTTAAAAGGTAAAAACCTATTTTTTTTTTAAGGATTAAGTAGATTTTGTTCTAAAAATTCATTATAAAAAATAATAAAAGAACCTTGAATTTTAATTTATTTTATAAAAAAAAATGGAATTATTAAATTTTGAACCATTTTTTAAATAAAATCTTAATTTTTTTGTAATAAAATTTAATGAAGATTTTCTTATTTTTTCAAAAAAAAAAAAATAATAATTTTTCTTTATTTATTTGTCAATTTTTCATCCAAAATCATTTCTAATAAATTATTTATTTAAAAATTTACAAAAAATTCATTCTTTTTTACAAAAAATCTTATTTAAAGTAGTTTTTGGATTATTTTTCCTGTCCATTTTACATTTTTTTATTATTCTTTTTTATTTTTTTTCAATTATTAATTTAAATAATCCATCCAAAACTCCAAATTAATAAATTATTATATATCAAAATCTAAATAAATGCATTTTAAAAAACATTTTAAAATTAAAATATTAATTCCTTCGTCTAAATCTACTTTAAAAATAATTATTTTTTCCATTAAATTAAAAAAAGAACTACATGAATTTTATAAAAAAAAAATTCGTTTTTCTCCTACTTCATATTAAAAAAATCGAAAAAACTCATATAAAATAAATAAACTACCTTTTAATTTTTAATAACTTTCTAATTATTATTAATTTTATAATTAATATAAATTAAAAAATGCATATTTTATTAAACTAAAAGAATAAATATCATTATTTTTTTCACAAAAACTATTTTTAAAGAGAACTTAAATAAGATTTTATAATTATTTTCTTGTACTTTAATCTTCAAAAAAATAGTCTCTTATAATTTTTTCTACAATCTTTTCATTTTAATTTGCATTTAATTTCTCATTTATTATTTTTGTTAAATAAGAAATCACAAATTGGCGCTATTCTAACTATATTTAAGTTTTATTTGCTATTATTTCCAATAAATCATTTACAAAATTCTCATTTTTGCCTTGATTTTCTAATTATTATTGACAATAGTCTAATTAATATTAATTTTTAGAATTTATGCAATTATTTACTAATTCTAATAGATTAAAATTCATAAATTTATTATAAAATAATATTTTTAATAAACAAAATTTATATTTTAAAATTATATTTTCGCTATATCTATATTTAATAATTATATAAATTAATATTAAAATATTTAATAAAATCAAATATTAATAATTTTTTTATTTTATAAAAAAAACATAAATAAATAAATAAAGATATTTATTATCAAAAGAACAATTTATATAAACCAGTAATACTAAGAGCTAAAAGTAAAATAAATGTAGAATTATAAACATATTTTGCTGTATAATGATTTACTTTAATTATACTATTTTCATCATCCTCCTTCAAAATAGAGAACTAAGGTTTAACATATTCTTCATTCTATTATTATTTATTACCAAAGCATTCAAAAGTTACTTTTTTTGGAATATTTTTTTCTTAAATAATATCCAAAACAAGTTTTCCAACACTTGCTCTAGTAATAACTCCTCCTTTTTTATCACCTTAATCAATACTACAATTAGTAATTTTCGTATTAACAGTACAATCTCCCAAAAGACGAGTAGGTCTAATAATAATATAATTAAGTCCACTTTTTCTAATCAAATTTTCAGCTTAAACTTTATGTCCGAGTGCATTTCTTGCTAAAGAATTAATTAAATAAGCAAAAAAGTTAAAAGGACGAGTAACTAAGCAAGAACTAATAAGGACATAATTATTAACTTTATGTTTTTTACACAGACTAATAAATAATTCATTAACTGTTATTTCAATAAATTTACTATCATCTTAACTTTTTAAATTAACTCCAATTGCATTTATTACACAAATTACTTTTTCTCCTTTTCTATTTGGATCAAATGCCATATCAAGTATACTATTTATTTCCTTTTTTTATTCTAATTTTTTCTTTTAAATTTTCGTCTCGTGGAACAAATCACATTCTAAAACACTTTCTGTTTATACTAATTAATCTTTAAATACTTATTAAGCTGTTTTTTAATTTCTCACTATTAATCTTATTCTATAGCCTGATTATAATAATTATCTTGTTATATGACTTCCTACTCCTCCTGTAGCTCCTAATACTATTATTATGCCTTGTTCAGGTGTTATATTCATATTTTTTTTATAAAGATATTTATTAAATACAAAAGATTTTTTTCTTTTTTTATTTAATTATATTTTACTTTTTATTATTTGTTTATATTTTTTTTATTTTAAATTAAATATATTTATTTTACATTAAATTAGTTAAATACAATATGTATATTAAATATTATCGTTATATAAATTAATAAACTTATATATTATAATGATAAAATGACAGGTTAGTTAAATAAAAAAATATTATTTGTTAATTTATTTATTTAAAAACTTTTTGACTATAATTTATAAATGAAAAAAATTAATTTATTTAATTCTTTTTATTTATTTTAATAAAAAAATGGAAAATCTTATTTTATAATTAACCACAAAAAATTAAAAATAAAAATAATTTATTTATTAACAAAATTTTAATTTTAATTTTCGTATTTTTATTATTGTATTTTAAAATATGAATGAAAACTTAGAAAATTTAATATAATAATTTAAATAGTAAATATCTAATGACTCAGATAGCAAAAAGCAAATTCTTATGTAAATAAAAAATTATGAAGATATAGATCAAATTATATCTAAATCAAAAATAATTATTACCAATACTTTTGGAAAGTTTAGAAAATCAATAATATTCTCATATATCAGTACTTATTCTTTAAAAGTTTCTAGTTTATAAAGGATTTGATATTTAATATATTTAATAAAAGCATTTTTAATAATTAGTATTAAATTTAGATAATCCAGATATTGAATAAAGCAAAACTTATCATTAATTTATTTTAAATTATATTCTTAAATCAAAAGATTTTATAAATCCATTATAAGCATATATAAAAACTGGATTAAATAGCTATAATGTTAATAATAAAATAAATACATATTTTATTTATATAAATAATAAAAAATTATTAATTTTTTTTTGATTAAAAATAAAGAACAATTTGATAAAGAAAGCAATAAATTCTTTATAATCATTGATAATTTTGGCAGGAAAATATTTAGACTTTAACTCATACGAAGCGTCTATTTCTGACTCGAAAACTTATTAAATCATTATTTTTCAAAAACCAATGTGTTTAAATAAGCCAATTAAGTAATTTTAATATATAAGAGTAACAAAAAAATGATTCATATTTTTATAAAAAAAAAAGACTTTAATATCATTATGTAAATAAAAAAACATTAAACAAGTTTTGACAAATTTAAAAGAATAAACACTAAACAAATTTATATAGTATTGCGAAGAAAATTTAAAAATAGGAGTTTTACCAGAAGAAATTGAAAACTAAAGTTAAATTTTGAAAAGAGCAAAATAATTAAACGATGAAAATTTAGAAATATACGGAATATTAACAAATGAATAATATAATAATATAAAAAATTAAACGCCCTTAATAATTAAAGAATTTTCTTTATAAAAAATGCTAGAAAACATCTAAAAAAACAAATAAAATACTTTTCTAAAAGAATACATTAAAGAAATTTTTTATTTAATAAAAGATTAAATATCTCATAAGAATTAAATAATTAGTTAAAATTTGATTAGTATTTCATTAAATATTTTAGAAGAGCTATCCCATTTAATAATCTAAGTAGAAATTTTCGATGAATTCAGTAGTTTAATAATTGAAAGATTAACTGATATTGCAAACTAAAGTATATCCTAACAAATAATAATAAACCATTGCGAAGCGACTAATATGATAGAAGAATGGATAATTAAATTATGTTAATTTTTTTATGTAAATAAAGCTTAAATTTACATATAGACAATAAACTTAATTTTAAAAAATAAAAAAGAAAATATAAATAATTGGAAAAATATAACAAAAGAACTTTGCTTTTTAACAGATTTCGAATTTAATATTAAAGATTTGATTTTTGATATTATAAAAAATATTAAAAATCAAAAATATATGTATCCATTTCTTTAATAAATTTTAAGTCCTTAACTTCTTTAATATTATGAACAAAATTTTTTAAAAAGTTAAAATTTACCTTAAATAACTATTTCAAAATACAAAAAAGCATCCGAAGAATTTTAAAGTAAAAAAATAAAAATAAAAAAAAGATAAAAAAAAAATAGATAATATACAAGATAATTAAATACATTAAAAAAAACCATTTTTTTAAATTAAGAATCATCTTTAAACTTACCTCCTATAAACCAAATAATGATTCGAAGTGATAATTTAGATTTTATTCAAGGTCAATAACTAAAGCGTACTTTAAAATTAAATTAATTAAATTTAAGTATCAAAACTAAATAATCTTGGGATTTTTAATCTTCTTATTAAAAAAATAATCCTTAAACGACCATAAAAACAAACTAAAAAAAGTTTAATACTGAAAATCTAGATATTTATTTAAAAGAATCGGAACTATAAAAATTAGAAAATCCCCAAATGTACGAAGATATTATTTTATAAGATTTAAAGAATACCCAAAACTGGGAAAAATAATTCTAAGCTTTAAACAATTTTCGTTCTTTAGTAAAATTTAATTTTTTTCTTCTAAAAAAATTTTAATAACTTCCTTAAATAATATAACTTTCATTAAATTTAATTGATAATCTAAGATCTGGATTATCCAAAAATTCTTTAATTACAATTGCTGAAATTTCCTTCAAATTAAAAACAGAATTAGAATAATCTATAGATCTTTTTTTTACAAAAATTATGAAAAAATCATTAGATAATAATGTCTTTATATCAGAATAAGTATAAAAAACCCTAATTTGTATTTGTAAAAATTTAAATTCACAAAAAGTACTTAATATGTGTTTTAATTATTCAAATAGTTAGCATTTTTAGTAAAAACAAAGCATTATTTTGTGCTTTGAAACGCTCATTTATTTCTATGAATAGAGATTTTAATAATAAATAAAAGAGTTTGATAAAGTTATAGATATTTTAGTTAAATATACCACTGATAATTCATCTGAAATAAGAATTTAATCAAAAAAAATTTTATTTGATTGTATTTAAATAGGCTAAATAAACTAGAATTATATAAAATAGAAAATAATTAAAACTTATTAATAAAATACAGCAATTAAAATATATAATGATGTAATAAATAATAACTTAAAAAATGAAATTTAAAAATGATAATATATTTTATATTTTATAAACATATTTTTTTTAATTTAAATTTCAAAAAATATAAATATCTTTTTTAAAAAATATAAAAAAGTATATCATATAATCATTAAAAGATTAAAACGATATAAAAAACATTTATTTTTTTTGTTAAAATAAAAAAAAAAAAAAAAAATTATTATTATTAATATTTTAAAAAAAGAACAATAAATATAAAAAAACTACATTTTTATATATAAAAAATAATCTTATTTTTTTATTCCAAAAAAAAAAAAAATTAAGTAAATAAATTTCAAAGGTGATTTTATAGTTCGTCTTAAAGTGTTTCTTCAGAAATACAATAGCAATTAATTTATCTTTAATTAAAAAGTCTCATATCCATATTTTTAGCACAGTTTACAGCACTAATTTCATTATTAAAAATAACAAAAACAGCTCCACAAGGACTTTTTACAGCTACAATAACTTATATTACATCTCCGAATTTTTTACATTCCTCTAAAAAAATAAAACAAAATAAATAACTTAAATTTTTTAAAAATACCTGCGACATCTTCTTTTAAATCTGCAAAGAAAGCTGAATCTCCATTTCCTTCTCCTTCAAGAAACATATTAACTAAAACAACATAAGGAGTAGGTACAAGACTTAACAAAGGTCTTTTTAAATGGATTCCTGCAGTAATTTAATTATTAAGTAAAGGATTATTTGCAATATTTAAACTTGGGATAATATTACTATTCATTCCTGGTATAGGAAGTACACCATTGCTTAAACTTTAGTCAAGTCCAGGAATACTAAGATTGTTGCCTGCCAACTTTTACATTAATTAAAGTCTGCTTTAAGCAGTATGTAAATAAATATTATCTAAAAAAATTAAAAATAAGTACATAATTAAATAAAATATATTTTTTACTTTCATTTTAATCTAAATCAACTTTATTTTCTTAAGATAAAGCAATAATAGGCATATGTGCAGCCAAAGCCGGATTAAGCGAAGAAACAGGAGCCACAGTAATTTATTAATCACTAATTTTTTTATTATTCATTGCATTTATAGCTTCATGAGCTTCACTTTTTTTACTGAAAATAATATACCCAAATCCAATACATTTACCATTTACATCCTAAGGAAGTTCCACTGATTCAATATCTCCATATTATTAGAAAATATCTCTTAAATCAGTATCTGTCATACTAGCTAATTTGCCTGTAAGTCCCCCAACAAATACTTTTACAGGTCCATCTTATAATTTCTAGAGTTGTTCTTTTAAGGCTTCTGCTCTTTATTATTTAATTTATTTTGCAGCTAATGCAGCTCTATTTTTTTCCGCTTAAGAATGTTAAACCCTTGTTTCTGAATTAGGAACTTCCTCTCCTTTCAAAATAAAAGGCTTGGTGTCTGCTTGTAAAGCTTTTTGGACATCTTCTTAAATATAAAATTCTGCATAAGCAACTCCCTTAGATTTTTTAGTTCTTTGATCTCTTATTATTTTTATGTCTCGAACTTTTGTGCATCCACAATGTTTTACTAAATATTTCCATATATCTTTTTCATCTGCTTTTGTAGGTAATTAATATATCATCACTGTTAGATCTTCTCTTGTAGCTTCTTCAGCTTCTTTATCTATTTTTTTTTTATTATTTTTTTTATTCTTTTTTTTTATTTTATTTTTACTTAATCTTTCTATTTGTTCTTCTAATTCTTTTTTTTTACGCTCGAGTCTTTCTGCAGATGTTTATTAACGTTATTCTGATTATTAAGATTATTATTATTTTTATTATTATTCTGGTAAGTTAGTGTTTGATAGTTCATTAGCTTCTTTTTAAGGAGGAGAATTCTTACGATTTTAGTGTTTTGATTTCTTTTCTTTTTTAGCACTTCTGGATCTATGTTTGTGTTTTCTATGAGATTTGCTTCTGGATGATTTTTGCTTTTTGCTTTTTTTTTTTTGAGAATGTGAACGACTTCGAGATGATTTATGACTTTTTTTCTTTTTGTGTTTTTAATGTTTTTCTCTTCCCTCTAAATTGTTATTGTTGTTACTTTCATTTTCTTAAGCTTGCTTATTTTTTTTTTTTTTTTTTTTTTTTTTTTAATAATTTTATAACAGATGTGTGACAAAATTTATAATTCATTTTTTCTTTTTTTTTGTTTTTTTTTTTTTTTCATTTTTTTTTTTTCATTTTTATATTATAACTTTTTTTTTTTGCTTACATTAAACATTGCTTAGGCTTATTCGAAATCGATTTCCATTTTTCTCGCTTTTTTTAAATATTAGATTTTTTTTTTTTAATTATTATTTTTTCTTATTAATTTATTTTTATTTGTTTCTTTCTTTTTATTTATATATAAATATAAATTTTATATTTATTTTTGTTTTTTAAAAAATAATTCTAAGAAAAATAATTGATTATAAATAAAATTTGTTTTATTTATAAAATAAGGCTTATAAAATATATATTCAAATAATTTAATTTCTATATTTTTTGTATCTTATAAGTATTTTAATTTTTTTTAAATTCAATTAAATTTAATAAATTTAAAAATTATTATTATACATATTGCATTTTTAAATATCCATTATATTTTGATAAAAAAATATAAATGTTTTTATTACTACTTATTATAATATAAATCATGTTTTACTTATAAACTAATTCATTTTATATATTAAAAATATAACAAACATATAAAAAATTTATATTTTATATTTAGATTTAATTTTTATATTTTTATAAAAAAAAAGATAAAAAAACTATAAATGATTAACATTTTATTTAACTTATTGATACTAACTTATTTTTCATATTTTGTCTCACATTATTTTTTAATATCTTTAACAATACATTTAGTATATTACACTTATTTAAATAAGCGATAATCTAGATTAAAATATATTTTTTAAACAGACAAAGTTTTTAATTTGTTAGTAAATTTAGGATTTTATGTAATTATTGACATTTTTATAACAATAACTTCATTTAAATTTTTATATAATAGGTTTTTTTAATAAGTCAAATTATCTAAAAGTATGATTAACAGCTTGAAATTGATGACGTATATAAATTACAAAATAATTCTTCAAAAATTATTTTCTTTCCACTTTTTTTCACAAAAAATGTACATATAAAAAAATCAAAAATAATTAAAATATATATATATATATATATATTTTTAATAGCTTATATATCTAAGTACATTAAAAGAAAAATCTATTAATTAAAATATTAAAAACAAGATAGATTGAAATAAAAAAAGAAAAAATATATAATAATAAAATTTGATTAATAAAATAATTTATATAAAAATATTTTTTTCTTCCTATTTAAAGTATTAAAAAAGTTCACAAATGTTTATATTTTTAATAATAATAATAAATTGGATAATAACTCACAAGGGTTAAACACCATCCAATAAATACTAAAAAAAATCCATGATTACCAAATTCAAAAAGTTATAAGAAAAACGCAAAAACACCAAGGACAAGAGTAATTCCAGGCACTGTATATTAAATTAGTTTCGCAATTATATGTGGAGTTTTATCTTAAATACACTATTGAATTTATTATTCAATAAAATCCCATTTTAAATACCAAGTAAAAAACGCAGTTTAAATAAAAACAGCTGAAATTAAATTAATTCCAACTCCAAAATGATCAACGAAACCCAAATAATAAAATCCTCCTTAAGAGCAATATAAAAAAGCACTAAAAGAAACCAAACTACATAAAATGGCTCTTATTCCTCTCATAGTTATTTTTTTCCTTTTATATAAATAACTCCATTTTCAATTTCATCTTCAACAGCTGCCGCCAAGCAATCCAAAAGAGCAAATTATGTGTCGATTCCTAAAAAAATCATTACCAAAAAGAATATTATAGCCCATAAATTAGAAAAAGGCATCATATTTAAAACTGCTGGAAATACCACAAACGTTAAATCAGGTCCTGTCAAAGGAATATCGTTAATTTTTATTCCTGTAAGTTATGACATATATCCCATATAAGAAAAAACAACAAAAGAAGACAAAAAACCACATAAAATAGTTAATAAAGGTATAAATATTGATGATTTCTTTACTTCTTAATTTTAAGGACGATATGAGCCAAAAAAAACTAATGTACCACAGCCTGTAGAAATCTAAAAAATTATCTAGTTTGCAGCGTCTACCCATACTTAAGGATTTGCTATTTTTGACCAATCAGGTTTAAAAAGATATGAAATTCCTAAAGAAGCCCCATCGAGACATAAACCACGTAATAATAGTATAAATAGCAATATATAAGGAGATGTAGCAGTTACTAATGCTATTTTTCCCGAAACAGAAACTCCTTTTTATATACAAAGAAACCTTTATTATTTATTTTAATTAACTTATAAAAAATAAACTAATTTTTTTTTTTTTACACAATCACTTATGATAATACATAACAAAAAAACAAAGGCCATACAATGCCTCCTAAATTATTAATTGATCCAGTTGATTATAATACATTATTATAGAAAAAATCCTTTTTTTATATTTTTATAAAAAAATTATATTAAAATAAAAAATACTTTGTTCCATGGTTAAATATGCTTCAAGTTTTCATCTATTTTCCAAGGAAGTGGAAACTTAAAACTTTCCCATAAATAATAAAAAGAATAAGCGAGAATCAAATTATAATATGTGGACATAATAGCCGTATTTATTATTGGCAAAAAGCCTAATCCTTTCCATTTTTTATGAATCTTAAATAAAATTTATATTTTTTTAATACATTGCTATTATTATATATAGTATATTTACTTTTTAAAATATTTATGGAGGACCTTTTTAAAATATTTATCCAATAGATGTTTCGAAATAAAAAGAAGGAACACCAACTAAAAAAAATAATATCATGTAAGGAATTAAAAAAACTCCTCCTCCATTCTTAAAAATTAAATAAGGAAAACGCCAAACACTACCAAAGCCAGCTGCAAATCCTAAAACACTTAATAAATATTCAAACTAATTATTAAATTTATCTCTTTAGTGTACTTCTTTATCTAATACTAATGGTTGCTATATTATTGGTGAATCTTTATCTTTTATATGGATTATCATTATATTAAAAAAAATAGTTTTATTTATTATTATTTATTTATAAAAATATCTATTTATTCGAACTAATGTTGCTAATATATTATAGGGTTAAGTTATATATAAAATTCATGTAATTGAGTTTAAATAAACACGTAATTTTTATATAAATAATTAAGAATTTGAAATATTTGTCTATTATATTTTTAATAAATAATAAATGCTTGAGATATTTTAAGATTAGAACTCTTATAATAATTATGTATATATTTTTAAAAAACTGCATTATTTTTATAAAAATTAAACGTAGTATTTTTGATATAAATATTAATTATAAAATAATAATAAAATATATATTTTTTAATATATAAATTACTTTTAAATAATATATAATATATAAATTAATTAATGATAAAAAATTATAAATATTTTATTTATTTAATATTTATTTCAATATAATTTTATTTCATATCAATTATTTTAATATCATATTAATTTGCTATGAATTAATTATTTATTACTACTACTATTTGCAGGTGTAGAGCAAATACTTGTTTAAGCACTATATTTATTTTCATACTAAATGTTCTTACTATGCTTTTATATATTTTTACTACTAAGCATTTCAATTAATAATGAATTTTTTGCTGCCTTTATATCCTTTTACTTTTATCCAAATAATTTAATTGATTCAATTAAATATTAATATTGCTTATTTTTTGATAAAAATTTATTTTTTTCTATTTAATTACTTTAGTTTTATTATTTTTCCCTTTCTTATTCAATATAAATAATTATTATTTAATATTTTCTTATGTTTTAGCAAAATTATCTTTATTGCTTTCTTTATTTACATTTTATATATAAAAATAGCTTTATGCTTATTATAAAATAGAACTTTCTTGTTTATGGGCATTTTTTCTACATCCTTAATTATTATTTTTTAACTCATCATATTAATTAAAACTTCTTTTATTCTTAAAAAAGTAAAATAGAAGAATATATAAAATTAATTATATTTATTACGTAATTAACCAGAAAATCTTTATCAAATTATAATCTTTATTTAAACGGAACAAATGGCTTATTTTTTTTCATTAGAAGTTTATTAATCTAAGCATAGCCAGCAGCTTTTTTAAATTGAACATTTTTGATTGCATTTTTGAATTCTTTTTTATCAAAATCTTCGTCTTTGATAAAATTTAAGAATTAAATAAATTTTTATTAATAATTTTAATCAAAAACTTATTTATTAATAAAAAAGAAAAAAAATTAACAAAAAAATTAAAAACTTATTTCTTTTATTACATGAATTGCAATTTTATTATATATTGTTTTAAGATAAATATTTTAAAGGATAATGAATCTAATTTTTGCTAAATTAGTTATTTTTATTTTTAAAATTATCTATTTAATTAAGTATTATTTAATCCATACTTTCTGATACTTATTTTGTTTTTTGCAATGATTTTTTTACATATAAATTGAGATGACTATATTTTTTAAACTTATTCATTAATTCATATTTGCTACTATTACTTAAATTTTCTTTTGTAAATTATTTATTTGTAGTTAATATATTAGATTTATATACATTCTTAGAATTTTTATCTGCACCAATATAGTTGCTTTAGCTTTTTTTTTCTTTACTTTTATTTAATCTCGTTAAGTTAAAAGATGTTTAATTTAAACCAAAATTTTTTATTGATTTTTGATTTGTTGTAGTACCAATTTATGTTGTTTTATTTGGATTAGCTATACTACTTAGTTTTTATTGAACATATGTAATACTACTGTTTTTAAGCTAATTTTATTCTTTTATACTCTCATCTTATTTTTTATCTTTCTTATATTATTTTTTTTTACATATAAATTTATTATTAAATAACCTTTACAATGAATAAGTTTTTATTAATTAATTCCGAATTAGATTTTTCGTAAAGAAAGCTATTGATATAACTCTAAATATTAATGTGTTTTGAATTTAATTGTTATTGTTTATTTAAAACCAATTTTATTATTTGTTAAATTTCACCATTTTATTTCAAATATTAAGAATATTTATTTTATAATATTATCAATAATTATTCAGTATAATTTTTTAATTCATTAGAATTTTTTTAAAATAAAAATCTAAATATATATAAAATAAAATATAAATAAAAAAAGAGAGTAAAAATTACTTATTACAAATCCAATTTGATAAAGTTAATGACTCTATAGCATTATCATATTTATTTAATTATTCATAACACTATGCTTACATATTCAGATTTATTACACAAAAACTATAAATATATTCATATTTGTTTTTTATAACTTATAAATTTTTAGTATTCTTATCACGCATTCTTTAAAAAATAATTTATCCGGCATACTTTAAGTATTTAAATGACATTTTATAATATATAAGACTATTTTAAAATTGTTATTCTTAAAATAAAATGTTTGCCTTTTTTTATAATAATTTAGCACTTAATAAGTATGGTTTTTATCCCCTAATATAACCATAGATAAAATCAATATGATTTATAATTGTTTAGCATGCTTAATTTATTAAAGCTAAAACAAGCTAAAATTATTTTAAAATATTATAGAATCTATTTTTATTAAAAACATATATTTCTTTTTTATTATAATAAATATGTATTTATATAATTTTAATTACTCAGATAATTATAAAATATTGTTTAAGTAAAATACTAAATATGTTTCTTACTATCTCTAAATTTCCAAATTATAAACATTTTTTTCAGATTAAATACTCAATATTACTTTTTAAAATCTTTTAATTTTTTTAATTGAATGAATATTATATCTTTAATTTTTTTTAAAATGCTTATTATTTTTTTATTTATAATTTTGTGTTTTCCTAAACATTTTCATTTTGAGTATATTTAATTAACCATTTATCAACTAATTTTTAACTGCAGTAAATTTAGTGTTAAAGTAATGTATACAAATATGTGATTTCTATCTAATCGTTATCTATATATTTTTAAATTAGTTAATAAGATTTCTAGTATTGACCTAAATCGATTAAATTTCGTGAAGTAATTATATAATATTCAGGATGAGAAATTATAATTTAAACTATACCCTATTTAAAAAGTTTTCCTACTTTTTTATGTTATAATAGAGTTTTTCCAAACTATTTAGTTTAATCAAGTTTATTATCATAAAAAATATCTGTATTAGTCTTAACTAACTATTAAGAAGAATACATTTAAGAATAATACTTTTTTTTATGTAAAAATAATAATATTAAAATTAATTTACAAGTATGAAAATAAAAAATAGAATGTACAAATTAATTTATTAAAATATAATATTTAACATAAAATCCAATATAAAAATAAATTAATTTAATATTATATAAATAAATTAATTTAATAAAATAAATACTAAGAGGAGATTGAACCAACGACCTTGTGATGATAATGAGAACAGACATTCCAGAGTTTTATATTAAATTTTAATTTTAAAATTAATGAATTTAAAAAAATGATAATAATTAAATATAAAAAAAAAAAATTAATTATTATTTTATTATATATAATAAATAAATAAAAAATATTTTTACATAATAATTATATATTCTTTTAAAAAATATATAAATCAATTAAAAATTAAGGTTAATTAATATAAATAAAATATATTTATATAGTTATTTCTTTACTAATATATTATAAAATATTCAAATAAATAATTTTTAATAAAAAAAACATATATATTTATTTTTTAAAAAAATGCTCCAAGCGGGGGTCGAACCCGCGACCTTGGGCTCATAAGACCCACGCTCTAACCAACTGAGCTATCGGAGCTTTATTAATATTTAATATTTTAATTTTAATATAAAATTCCAAATTTATTTATTTTAAATTAGTAAAGATAAATAGAAAATTGTTTAAAATAAAAAATTCATAAATAATTTTATAATTTTTTTTTTTTTAAAAAAAGAGACATTATAATCAATTTTATTTATTATATTTAACATAATTAAACATAACTAAATATCAATATCTATATAAAAAATAAATAAGAATAAACCTAATAAATTATAAATATAAAAAAAATGAGAAAATTAAAAAAATAGTACAACTTAATTAGAAAAAATAGATATTTAAATAAATATAAATTTATATATTAGAAAAAAATTATTGTATAATTATATAAAAAAATAAAAATAAATAAAAATATATGCTCCAAGCGGGGGTCGAACCCGCGACCTTGGGCTCATAAGACCCACGCTCTAACCAACTGAGCTATCGGAGCTTTTATTTATAAATAAAATTAATAATTAAAAGAAAATTAATTATATAATATATGTTATAAATATATAAAATAATTGATTTTATTTAAAATAATATAAAAATATTAATTTTCTAATAAAAAAAAAAATAGTATATTTTAAAAAAAAAATTAAAATAAACATA